CCCCCCCCCACCACATGCTGTGGTTGTTTTCTGTTGCGTTCTGCAAAGAAGTAGAGGTCAGAGAAGGAAACCACAAAGCAAAGGTGGGATTTAGAGGCATCTGACACTCCTGAAAGTGTTATATGCTGTAAACACTGGTGAAGGCTGTAGCCCCGGAATGGAGGAGAGATAGCACACGAGCCTCTGGTGAGGTAAGTATAATAGATTTTCTCTTGCAGAGACCTGATGGTTCTAATGCTTTAGAGACCTGATAGGGCCTTTTTAAAGTCTATACTTATGATCATAAGGAGAAAAAACAAAGTAATTGAGAGGTTGAGACAAAAAGACATACAGAACATAGTTGAAACATTTCAATAGCAGTAGGCCTGAAAGTAGTTATTCACACTTGAATGGGCAAATACGTTTGAAAGCAAATAAATATGTTTCTATTTACAATGTAAAATATGATATGAGTATTTTGGTTTTGGTATAGCGGAGAAAAAAAAATGGAAAACTTGCTAGTGACTATAATTTTTTGACAACACAGTGTAGGATTGAGCTTAATCACAAATATCTATAATGCCCACTACCTCTTATTGTTTATGTTTGTTTATTTATTTCTACATTTGTTTTTTGTTGGGGGGGGTGTCTTTATTCCTTATTTCTATATCTTGTGCCTAATGCTCTTCATCATTAACGCCATGTTCCCCAGGTCAAACTTTATAAAACTTTAAAAAAATCAGATATGGCACAGAGGATAAAGGTCAAACATTACATGCCATTGTTAAAGTCCTCATTTTGAGTTTGATAGTTTTAAGCACCAGCAGTTGAAATGTAGAATCATCCTGTACTTAAAGGAAATCTTGGACCAGATTTTGGCTGTCGACTATATTTGAATTTCATGCTATATGATTAGCTACTGCCTGTAGCTACGAGTAAAAGATTTGAGTTACTGATCTTTTAAGGTAGGTGATTGAATTCTGACTAAAAATTAAACCTCAATTAAAGTAAGAAACAGTACTCCTAAATCTAGTTCTAAACATCATGTGGTAATTTGATGTTAGACTTTCCTAACTAAGAATTTTAACTATTCTCTAAACAGGACTAACTAGCATTTAGTTTTCAATCCTTTCTGCCTCCACTACAACCACATAGTCAACTGAAACTTGAAATTATATTTGGAATGCAAGATTTGGGAAACATGTAGAGTGATTACTACAATGCTTTTTCTTGAAAGACTGTTGTGTTGCCTGTTTAAAATGTATGATATTGCATTATGTGCTATGATTTTAAACTTTCTATAGGTTTATATAGTTTGAACCAAAAACAGTTCAATAGCTGTAACATATTTGGACACTTATCTGGCCAGTCTGCTACATAAAGTGTTTTTGTGGCTAAATGAAATGTTTACACTTGCTGGAAACCCATTCATGTAACAACACAGGTCTATGCAACTCACATCTGAAAACAGTTATTGGTTATAAGTTGTGCTCTACTCCAAATACATAATGTTTCACTGAAACAGCAGTAATTGCCTAATTTGCATAGGCACTACAGCCAAGGGTAGGCATTGGTCTTCTCCAAGAGTTTCTGCCTTTTTTCTTGGTTGTGTTTTTCAATTCCTGTAGTAGAAGCAAGGTGTACTACACAAAAGTGCAAGAAATTGAATGAACACCTTCTCAAACTCATTGGAGTACTCCAAGTTTATCACTCAAATAATTTTCCCCATTGTTGAAGGCACACTTGATTTTAAATGGAAGAGTTTGGACATCCCTAAAGTTACCACTAAACTGCCTCTATTATAACATGGCAATGAATACTCCTTTCTGCACCTCTTAAACTTTCCTGGTACAATGGGCTAGACATTTTTGCTCTGCCTTCATTGCTACTACAGGGGATAGGAATTCCAACTCTGCCTTCATTGCTACTGCAGGTGAAATCTGGTATTGCAGCCTGTTCATTCAGCTATAAGCTCTACAATTAGCATTGGCAGATTTCACTTGGAGTCCAAACAAATAAGGGACTCTCTCTGCATCTGTTTACTATTGTAGCCATCCTCTGCTTTACCATGGTTTCAATAATGCAACCTATTTGCGCTTCTGTTTAAGAGTTGTAGAATTATTATGAGCACTTCTCCTTTTAACAAACTAACATTTTTTTCATCACAAATTTTGAGGAAGGAGGAGTAAGTAACCCTTAAGATTGCAATACAGTGAAATATGCTGAGCATTTATGTCAGTAAGGTTCACATGCACGTTGAACCACCAGTTACCTGTCCAATGAGGGGCTGACATCATGACCCTATTATAATGTTTTACCCTTGGACTGCAATTTCTATCCCATTGAACATAAGAGATGGTAGTAAGTAGCAATAGGTTGTGTTGGAGTAAAAGATTAAATTACATACACACAAATACACATACAAATAAATTGATCAATGCAATTTAATTATTTTTCTCAAACCTGATATTACTAGCATATTTTCTTTGCAAACATGCTCATTTGCAAATATATATTTTTTTAATTCTTGCTTAAAGGAGAACTATGAGGTGAGTGAAAATCACTCAACCTCATAGTCCGAGCCGACGTGTGACAATGAAACTGTCACACGTTGGCTCAATAGATCGGGAAGTGAGCGAACGCATACCGTCGCTCGATCATCTCCCTGCAGAGAGTGGTGACTGTCAGTCACCGCTCCCCGCAGGGATTGCCCCGCTCCGATCTTCCAGCACTGACTGGAGGAATGGACCGGGGAGGGGGCGGGCACAGCTGGCTCTGCCTCTAGATAGGCCTCTAGATAACTTCAAGTTGAACATGAATCTAACCCAAACCAAACCTGTTTGCAGTTGAATGGGCAAACAAACTAGCCACAAGCTTGGTCAGTTCGCCCGCACAAAACCTGTGTACAAACAAAAGTCTGTGATTTAGTGGCGGTAAATGACATGACAGATCCCCAGTGGCTTGTAAACAAATATGGTCATGACCACAGGGGCGTATTTACCGCGAGGCAAACAAGGTGTTTGCCTGGAGCGGCACTTTGCAGGGAAGCGGCATTTTTCGCCTTCCTGCAAAGAGGAAAGCTGGCGACGGGCGCACAGGATCAGGCAGCCTCGGTTGCCTAATGTAATAGACTTACCTCCGTGCGTTCCAATGAGGGAGTCTTCCGACGTCCGGCACGCCAAGGAACTTCGCCCCCTCACGCTCGAGCTGTCGGCTCAAAGCCGCGGCTTTGCTAATTGATCGGCATCCTACTGATGTTTGTAGTGGGACGCTGATCAATTCAGTGTCTTACCCTGCCGCACTGTGGACCCCACATATCTCGGTGGATCGAGCTGAACCCTACGGATATCCCCTGCTGCACGAGCTGCCTACCAAACCGCAAGTACCTGTAGTTGGGCATACTGCCACTACTCAGTCTTGTATAACCAGCTAATGTGCACACTGCATTCGGTAATCTTCATCCGGCTGCCACCATATTACCTCTTCAGTATTATCATCAGCATAAGCCTATTGCATTGTCTGCCTCAGCTTAACTTAATGCACCTGATGTGCCCATACGGTCTCTAGTGAACCGAAGGTATCACCTAGAAACGCACCCCGCCTTTGTATAGCCATAAGTTGGGACTATTGTTATGCCTTATCTTCACACGGACAGTATCTATAACCGCTGTGCGCAGCTGCTTCTTGTTGCATGCTCACACTGCTCCACACACAACCTTACAAGCAAAGCCTGCATTTTGCCTTCCTCTACACCTATAGCACATAACAGGCGGATCATCACTTAGTATTGTGAAGTGCTGATCTTCTTGCTTAAACCAGGTTGCTATAGCTATAATAGACTCTAACCCACTGTAGACACTACTGCTCAAACCCTGTGGGTATCTAACTTGCACATCACAGGGGTGGTGTGAACCACGGGCAGTGAGTACTTACCCCTTACACAGGGTATGATGCAAAGCAGTTTCCTCTCCGCCTATCCCCACTATTAGGCATCAGGTTATGGAGCTACAGTCTGATCACCGTCCATAGCACACAGACAGGTCCTCCTACAGATTGGGAACTAGTGAGGCTGCACCTCAGCAATCCGCAGTTGAGATCCACATCAAAAACTTCACTCCAGCGCAGGGTTTTACACCTAATCAGGTGGCTGCAAGTGGGGCCTGTAGTGAGCTGCCGTGTGTAAGAGGAGGCGTGGCCAGGGCCGAGGGAGACGCGGCCCGGCTGGCGGAGGCTGCGGTTGGCTCTAGCAAGATGCTTCAGCGGCTGAAGGAAGAAGTGGCATGTCCTGGAAGCAGGCTGGGGAGCTGCAGGTAAGAGGAGCAGCACGTGTGCAGGGAAAGGGACCCTGCACAGCCCATCATAGACCCTGCACAGCCCACCTGAGAGTCTCTGTGCAGGGTCTATGTTGGGCTCTGTGGGGTCTCCGGTGGGGTTTGCAGGGACTCAGGTGGGCTGTGAAAGGTCTATTGTGGGATGTGCAGGGTCTTTGGCGGTCTCAGCCTGACACCCTGCAGAGCCCACCAGAGATCCTTTTGAGCCCACCTGAGACCCCGTCTTCCCTGCAACACTAAGGCCTCATCGTACACATCCGTGCAGGTCCGGGTGTCTGTGTTCGGACGCAGACAGGATCCATCCTGTCCGCGTACGGACAGTCGCACCCGCACGGATGTGCAGTTCGGGTGAGCATATGGCCGCGTCCTCCCATAGAGAACAGGCTGCTTCGTAAAATTACACGCAGCACCTGTCCTTCCGGGGAACGCTGCACGTATCTGTATGGGCCGACTCTTAAGCAGTGAGAATGAGGCCTAATAGTGCAACCTGTCAGAAGCTGTATCCTGCGACTTGACTGTTTACTCAGAATGTCTTGAGTAGGAAGGGGTGGGACAAATTTACATGGTCGGGGGCAGGGTGCCGAGTTTCGTCTTGCCTAGGGCAGCATGAAACCTAAATACACCGCTGCATGACCATCAATAACAAGATTCATCTCTCATAGACTTTAATGGCATTTGGTGCTAAGCAGGTTTTTTAGGGGGTTTGCCAAACCTTCAGCAAACTGAACTTTGCCTGGTTCACTACTACCAACCAACAAAATCTGTAACAAGGTATTGACACTGCAAATCATTCTGTTATATTTCCACATGGAATATGCTAAAGAACAATCGATGATAAGTTTGCTCAACACTGATATCCACAATGCTTATTTACCAATTAAACCATGTTTAGAGGTTTAAGCACCAGATCTAGTAATACATTTTCTTCAGTTTATAAACTGATTTACACATCTCACTAACTCATGCCTTAAAAATATTCTGCTTAAGGGCCCATTCACAATATTAGGCTGTGTTACAGCATAACAGATGTTAATGCCCATGCAATGTGTTGCTTAATGTACCAAAAAGGATGAATTTAGCATTTTTGACAGTGCAAAACATGTTAGTGCATTTCCATGTAATACAATCTGTCGGCAAGGTGTGTTGAGATGCCATTAAGAATGAATGGTACTTTATTGCACCAATGTGAGTAACACGTTGCCATGCATTGTGGTAACAGGAATGTTACCACAGAGCAATAGTGCAAATGGGCCTGTAAAGAGAAAAATAATTGGAAAATGTGCACAAGAATTGCAGAAGAGGTATGAAATGTCCTCACAAAAACAATATAAAATCCTTGTGGTGGCTGTATTAGTGAAATCACTGTGCTCATCCCTGTACACAGAAACTTATCAACTAGACAATTGCATTTTACATGACTGGATGGATGCTGTAGCATGAATTGCAAATCTGAGTTAAAATCGTTATCCATTAAAATGTGTGTACTACTCCCTGGTAGCTAGAGAGAATAATGATATGCACAATGGATCCTTTAATGCTTTATAATCCATGTAAAATGGATTATTTTGACAATATTGGTCATACATTTATTGATGAATTATATTTGGGTAATACTGTAACCAATTTCTGGCTATGGAAATTACTCAAAACTATTAGTAGTTCTTATGTAAATACATTTTTAAACTGCTGTTTATAAAATCTTGGGAAGGCTAAATAAAGAGGAAACCTGGTGTGTAATCCTTTAATCATGCCATACTGCGTATCACTGTGGATATGGGTATCACTGTGGATATGGGTGTTTTTCCTTTATAATCATGATTTCTATTTTGTGGGAATCTGGTGATCTCAAATACAAAATGATGGTTCAAATGATTAATTACTTATAAACTTATGTTACACTGAGAAATGCCCACAATCATGACATAATAATGAATTTCAAACAAAAATGTTTGTTCATAGCTAGCCAATCAGGAAGCTGGATGATGAGGTAGCATGAAGCCGGCTTCCTGGCCAATCAGGAAGCCGGGTGCCGGGTAATGACTCGCTGTCCAGCTGCCTGATTGGGCAGAGAGCCAGATCCATGCTTCCTCGTCACCTGGTGATGGGTGCACCTAGCAGCAGCACAATGCACCTAGCACACAGTAGCACATGCTTGGTGCGTTGTGCAATAGTGTGCGTTAATCGCACGGTATTGTGCAATTAACGCAGATCTTAGGTGTGAATGGGCCCTCAGGGTCCATCATTAGTACAGAGGCATCATTAGTACAGAGTATGAAAACTATATAAGTACCGCATTTTTCCGTCTATAAGACGCCCCCATGTATAAGACGCCCCCAACTTTTCTTACCCAAAATTCAGAAATCAATATTTTAAATGTTATAATTCATCACACTTACCTCTGAGTCAATCACGTTATGCTCCGACATTAAAGCTCTGGCACTGGCTACACTCTCTTCCCGGGAGCAGCTGACGTCGGGTACAAAAGATTTATGATCGGATTACAGAGACAAGATAACAGTTTTCCTCCAGTCGTGGATCTTTTGTGCCTGGCGTCAGCTGTTGCTGGGGAGAGAGGATTGCAGAGGCAAGATAACAGCATTCTTCCACTCTCCCCAGCAACAGCTGATGTCAGGTACAAAAGATTTATGATTGGAGGAAGACTTGTCTTGTCTCTGCAATCCGAAGTTTCACTCTTGAGACTAGTTTGCAGTGGTATCTGCCTTTTCGGCAGTTTCGCAACCGCGGTTCTCCTCTCGGCCCCCTGTATAAGACGCCACTCTATTTTTGGGTAAACATTTTAATGAAAAAGTAGCGTCTTATACACGGAAAAAAACGGTATATCAAAGATTGGAAAGCAGCATGTGAGGGCACACACAGCTCCTGCATATCTATACTGTAGAGTTACATGAGCTACTTGCTTGTTTCCTGCAGCAGCTACGGGCACATACAAAAAAACAGTTGTTCACACTGTACGGGGAAACACTTTATAACTTTATAAATATGTCCTACCTTTTTAGCTGCTTCTTTGGAGCAGAATTATACATAGGAAGCTATAGGTATTATATATGGGGACAAAAGCAGGGTCATTTTTACATGAATATATAACATCTTAGATATATTTAACCATTTGTTAGGACAGAGAGTCCTACATGTCTGATAATCTGAGATCTGTCAGAACAATGCAGACAGGGTTAAATATGGTAAATATTAACTCCTCATCCCCCTCTATAGTATTTTAGAGAATGGGAAAACTTGAGCTTTAGTAAAATGGTAAGCAACTATTTTTTAACAATAATTAAGTTATGCTATATGAATGAGAATATGTAACAATGTTCTCATTCAATATTAAGTAGGTGTTATCCCAATTTGGCCACAAAAGTGGAAATACACTTTAAATAAATCCTACACTTGTCCATTTAAAATATGTTTTATTGAATTATTTATAGAGGAATACCATTACTTGGACAAATATCAAAAACAACTTTTTTTTTTTGGAAGGGATCTTTATTATGACTATGAATTGGTTACAAAACATTTATTTGGCCAAACATTATATACAGTAACTGCAGTCATTTTTACATTCTTTAACATGTATGGATGTGTGGGTGTGTATGAATGCGTATTTGAAGAATTTTGATGTAGCTAAGAAGTAGTGTTATAGTGAAATAAATAATGTAATGGTGAAGTTATCTGCAGTACTATTTGGTTTACAGATTTGAACAAGGGGACTTATGTACAGTAAGGACCTTTTATTAGTGTGTACTCTTTATTTATTGATGAGACTTCATCATGCCTATAAATTTTGCATTTGCAAATAATTTCCCATTTCTTGCAATCCATACTTAGAAAATTATTTTGTTGGTGTGTTAGTAAATGGGGGCATGTTTGGACTAATCTTCTTAAATCTCTCTTAACCATTTGTTAACCATTGTAAATGTTCCATGAACTGTTGACTTCTAACCTTTCACCTTTCAGATTCTAATTCCTCTAATGTTGTTTTATTAAAACTCTATAAAGGGAACCCAGATAGTGAAAGACTGGCGCTTGCCCGTCAGCGCATCCCCTACCGCCTGGGTCGTGTTGTAGACGAGTGGCTGCTAGACAAAGGTAATTTCTGTGGGGACTGGGAAGTTTGCTTAAAAAATGGCAAAGTGAGAAGGTTAAGAGAATTCTTGAAAGTATCGCTTACTATGTATAGCAGTCACTCATTTTTGTTTATGACTATCCCATTTTACTCCATTTTTATCATACGCTTCTGTATCAAAGATGCTAATCTATCTTAGTATGTACAAAATAAATCCATTAGGGAGTTGGAACAGATGACATTTTGAGTTCATATATTTAAAAACTTTATTTGGAAATACCTAAATCCAGGAAAATACTATATAAAAGAAAAGACACCATATTTAAATTCTTTTGTTATTATAGAAAAAGATTCAGTGTTCCTGGGTGTTCCTGTTGCACTCCCACCACTTTGCATTTATTCATAGTTTTTCTAATAAAAATATTAAATATAAATTACAAATCTAATGCAACAAATTCACCACTCTAGGACATAAAGATGTTTAAGGCAAAGAATTGAAGCATTGCCCCTATATCCTTCATGAAACACAAGGGGCTATCGACAATGGTATTTATACATTGTTCAATAAACAAGAACAAGACAATAAATTAAATTTTCTCTTGTGTTGCCAATGTTAAAACATATTGCAACTATTTAGATAGGTCTAATCCAATAGATGATCCGTGGCCACTAATTGTGCATATATAAAGTGCAAATAAATATTATAATTAATCAATAAATAAGTGACACTTAAATCACTAGATAACCACAATAGTGCAAATGATGCAAAAAGGTGCAAAATAAAGTGTAATTAGTGCATTAAATATACAGGTGAAACTCGAATAATTAGACTATCGTGCAAAGTTCATTTATTTCACTAATGCAACTTAAAAGGTGAAACTAATATATGAGATAGACTCATTACCTGCAAAGCAAGATAGTTCAAGCCGTGATTTGTCATAATTGTGATGATTATGGCTTACAGCTCATGAAAACCCCAAGAACCCCAAATCCACAACCTCAAAAAAGTAGATTATTACATGCAATCAATAAAACAAGGATTGTACATAGAACAATATCGGACCTCTGAAAAGTACAAGCATGCATATGTACTCAGTACTTGGTTTGGGCCCCTTTTGCAGCACTTACTGAAATTACTTTTGCAAGATATTCTAATTATTCGAGTGTCACCTGTATATGAATAAATATATATGTATATGAATATATAAGTGCAATTCCAATTAATTCATACATAAAAAATGATATCCATTAGACATGAATCAAAAAACTTCAATGCCTTATATCATACAGTGCTCAGTCCATGGTTAACAGGTGAAAATATAAAATATAAATAATGTGCAGTATTATATATCCAATTGTGCAATGAAAAAGTCCCAAAAGTGCTTGATGATTTTCCAAACTCGTGTTCCTATCAGGGATCGTGTTTGTGGCATGCAGACACCCCCTCCATCCTCCACTAACCCTCATTGCGGTGAGTGCACACTCACCGCAATGATGCTGTATATTAGCCACAGAAAGCTCACTTTAAGACCACGATGTTTTCTCTAGATGTTTTAACAATGATATTACATAGATCGATCGTTTCCCATAATTAGAAAGAAAAAGCTTCTCATTGTATAGTATATCAAAAACCATTTATTAGGAGAAATTTAAAAACTCACGGTTACAAAACGAAATAACCGGCTGGTGAAGTTCAGCAAAGACAGCCCGCACTTCCGTGTTTGGTATGGTATCCAAAAGGCCAGTCCCTATGCGTTTCGTCACCAGGACGTCCTCAGGGGGATAACGGGTCTATCCGGCCATACCAAACACTTTCTTTTATAGCAGGCTTATTACATCTATATTCACATAAACCACTAGATGTCCTCGTATCTCCGCATACAGCTCTTTTCTTTAAAAACACAGCTATGTAGAGGAGGTAATATTAGCTATCAAATCCCTCAAAACATCTAAATCTCCTGGCCCTGATGGCTTTTCCGCCCTCTACTACAAAAAATTGATACATATCTTAGCCCCTAGACTGGTCGCATTATTTAACTCACTGAGCAATGGTGGCTCAATGCACCCCTCCTCACTAATGGCATATATCTCCATGGTCCCTAAACCAGATAAAGACCACCTAGACCCCAACAACCATCGCCCAATATACCTTCTAAATGTGGACATTAAAATCCTCACAAAAATATTGACTAACCGCTTCAACAAATTCCTACCCACAATCATCCACAGGGACCAGGTGGGATTCATCCCCTCGAGGCAAGCGGGAGACAACATTAGGAAAATTATCCATCTTACCCATGTGCTTAAAACAAGGAATATACATTTTGGAACTATTCTCAGGGGTCTCAGGCTTAGTGGTGAATTGGAAGAAGTCAGAGGCCCTGAACGTTTCCCTAACTCAATCTGCATACGACTGGCTTCGTGAGCACTTCGCGTTCTCCTGGGCCCGACAATCCCTGAAATACCTTGGTGTGAATATCACCCCCACATATGCTACGTTATACACAGCTAATTATATACCACTATTCCAACACCTAAAATATTTAATGACTAGCTGGGAACACCATAAATTGTCATGGTTCGGAAGAGTGGCGGCGGTTAAGATGACTATCCTCCCCAAGTTGTTGTATTTCTTTAGTCTTGCCAATTGCTATATCCTCATTTGCGTTACGATCTCTACAGAAACGAATCCTAACATTTATTTGGCACCCTATGAGACCTAGAGTCTCTAAGTCCACTCTATATAAACATAAAAAAGACGGGGGTATAGGCCCACCCAACATATTACTTTATTATCAAGCATCCCAATTATTACCCCTTATTACGATTCACCGGTCGACTAATATCCCTCTATGGATAATGCTAGAAATCCCAGAATGTTCCCCAACCCCACTCTCAGTCCTACCGTGGCTACCACCTAACGATAGCCCTATTGTGAGGCAAGCTTTAAAAGTGTGGGACTCCCTGAAATATTCAGCAGACTTAATATCTCCCTACCTGCCCCTTCTTCCCCTTCTTTCCCAGCCATTGTTCCTCCCTGCATATACTAATCCGGAACAATTTAAGTGGTGGAGCAACAATGGGTTTACAATACTGAATGACTTCTTTCGCAATACGACTGTCCCCACCTGGTCATACCTTAAAGAACATAAACAAATCCCTGATGCGGAACTATTCCGTTATTTCCAAATAAGGCACTGGGTATCCTCTCTGCAAGACCGGAGAACCCCAAACAGATCACTTACTTGCTTTGAGCATATATGCCTACATTCACCCGATGGGCCCAAACAGGTGTCAATCTTGTACTCCAAACTCAACTCTCTGACGCGCATTAATCTACACTCATATCCTGCCAAATGGGCCTCTGTTCTCAATATAGATTGGACTGAGGAGGATTGGGGCGAGGCCTGGAGAAACATTTCCCGATGCTCCCTTAGTGTCACCAATATGGAGGTGGCATATAAGGTGATGTTTCGCTGGTACCTTGTCCGTACTCGTTTGGCCAAAATATTCCCTACCTCATCCGCTGTCTGCTTCCGTGGGTGCACCCTCCCTGGAGACATGCTCCACATTTGGTGGACCTGTCCGTTCGCCTCCCGCTTCTGGACTAAAATTTATCGTCTACTGTCCCGCCTATTTCACACCCGTATTCCTAAGAATCCCGTACATGCCCTATTACACGCCACAATACCTGGTGTAACTACTCCCAAGGCTCCTTAGCACATCAGACCTTTCTAGCGGCCAAATTGACTCTAGCAGGTAACTGGAAAAAGCAAATCATCCCATACCGCAAATTTACCCTTAGGTTGGACAACATCATGACCAATGAAAGATTATCCAGTATCCTAACAGATACCCACGCTAAATTTTTGAAGGTTTGGGAGCCTTGGGTGTTACAACAACATCCTGAATTAGATGTGGAAACCCTTAGACATCTATAGGAGGATTCTTGTGGGGCGAGGTAAATGCCCCCCTAACGGAGACAGGCAGCGGAACCATTGAACCGACTTCACAATGCAACCAATAAAACGCCAAACCGATGGATTTACTACCCACCCCACCCTTTCCCCCTTCTATTCCTCCCTCCTTCAAAATATTTTCGTTTCTATACTCTTTATTTGCAGTAGACAGCCATGTAGCATGTATAACCAATTTGTACTTTTTTACTCAACCTAACTATGTGAAAACCATATCTACTGAACCCTATGTGTACTGTCTACACTATTTATGGAAATTTAATCAAAATTTTGTTACAAAAAAAAACACAGCTATGTAGATAGAACTATATTTCAGACGACACCACTAGATGTCCTTGTATCTATATATAGGAATACATAGCCCTTTTCTTTAAAAATGCAGCTATGTAAGTAAAACTGTCTAAAAGACCACTACATGTCTCCCTTGCCTTCATAATAAGAAGTCCATTTTACTGGGACAGATGTATTAATTCTATACAGGTATCCATTCTACTGGGACAGATGTATTATTTCTATATGGATATTAATCTCCTCCTAAGGGAATTTAGATGCATCTATTTACATATGAAGAAAATAAAATCACATAATATAAATTACAAAGATCTTATTTACTGCTTAAAAAACAATTTAAATCAAACTCGATATTAAGCCCTTTTGGGGCCATGTGATATAACACGAATATCCATTTTGATTCATTTTGAGAGACCTTCTGGGTGAGGTTAGTACCCCTGCAATGTTTTTCAACCCTATCTATCTCCACAATTTTTAAATGTTTCGGATCACAATTATGGTAAATTCTAAAATGTCTAAAATACGAGGACATCTGGTGGTTTATCTGAATATAGATGCAATAAGCCTGCTATAAAAGAAAGTGTTTGGTATGGCCGGATAGACCCGTTATCCCCCTGAGGACGTCCTGGTGATGAAACGAGTAGGGGCGGGCCTTTTGGATACCATACCAAACACGGAAGTGTGGGCTGTCTTTGCTGAACTTCACCGGCTGGTTATTTCGTTTTGTAACCGTGAGTTTTTAAATTTCTACTAAT